TCTGTTTTTTGTGTTTCTGTTTTCAGTGTTTCTGTTTTTTCAGTTTTTTCTGTTTTTTGTGTTTCTGTTTTTTGTGTTTCTGTTTTCTGTGTTTTTTGTGTTTCTGTTTTCTGTATTTCTGTTTTTTGTGTTTTTTGTGTTTCTGTTTTTTGTGTTTCTGTTTTTTGTGTTTCTTGTGTTTGTGTTTTTTGTGTTTCTGTTTTTTGTGTTTCTTGTGTTTCTGTTTTCTGTGCGAGGTTCTGTATGAAATTTTGGTTGTCAAACTGACTGATCGCTTTTAGTTTTGCAACATTTAGCCTCAATTAGCATAGATTGGAACTAAAAGAGACATCTAGCATTACTTTTAAGAGGAGACTAATAAGATATTAAACATATAAATAACACAGTTTGTTTATTACTTTCTTGGCTTATTTCTTTAACAGTTAATCAGAGCTTGGTCTGTACCATTATTTTGCTAATCTAGGCTAAGCACATTTCAGAGCTACCTCTCTGTAGTGCAGAGAGGTAGTAAAGATGCAGATGGATGCTAAATGGAGTTTAATAGACTAGCAAATAGCGGTGCAGTTCAATAGACTGCATTTATCATTTTAGTCTTTGCAACTGTTTCTGCAACCAAAGTTTTATTGAAACAATTACTTTTTTTTCTTTCAGGGAGGAAGCTGGGCTACACATTTGACAACAAAAACCTCCATAATGTCTCTCTGGGTCAAGGTCAGGAAGTTATAGCTGAACAAGCCCTCAACTTGGCAGCTAAAAATGGCCATTGGGTCATATTACAGGTACAGCAATTATACTTTTGAAATAGGGACTGTGATGTTATTTGTTATATGAGTATCAACACAAATTCAGTGAGTTCACACTCCAACCAGTATTTTTTCTGAAGATTATTGCAACAATCATATCAAGTAGATCCAATTATAGTTTGTGGTGTTTGAACACTAACACAAAAGGTATAAAATGACAATTCATTATAATTGTTAGAACATTTTGTCTTTCACTGAGTTGTCCCATGTGGTAAACCCATATAAAACGTGCCAAATTACAAAAACATATGTCTGTTATCAAATGTAGTATATACAATGCTGTAGACACCCGGAAAACCGAAACAAACACTTTTTGGAAATTGAATACAGGGTTCATTTATGTCAAGGATTTTCTATTCAAGGGGTGATTTTATGTGGCATTTCCTTTATCTGCACGTGTTCTGAATGAGGCATATTATCACTTTGTTTTTCATTGCATACTCAGTGGGATGTTTGCTTTCCTCCAAGGTTCGTCTCTGTGGAAAAGCGAATTTAATTCTCGAAGGAAATTTCCTAACTGAAAGGGCCACGGCATTATACAGTACAATATCTACAGCCACGGTGTCTGTTCTCCTCTTATCTGGAGGGCAAGGCTGGCTTTTGCATTTTAAGTGGAAACCTTGGTGGAATTCTAATGTGAAGTATCGACAGATATGAACCACAGACCAGGCACTGTGGGACACCCATTTCTTTTAATTCACACAGCTTGTTGGATTTCAAAAAAAAGAGAGAAGGTTGCGACAGCATCACTCTCCTCTCCAGACCCAGGATAGCACAGACAAGCAGTTGTTTAATTACCTTTGCATAAGAATCCCGATCGATACGCTTAAAAAGGCCTTGTCCCCCTGGCAACAAACCTCCTATTCGCTTTATCTGTCTGTTTGTCTGCCTACAAAGTGCCACCCCTATGGTACTGGCCAGGGAGGGAAAGAAAAAAAAGGGGAGGGGAGGTAACATATTCCCATCTATCTCCTGCTTAAACCATCCGTATCTTCTCCATCTTCTCTTTTCTATTCCTCTGCCCACTCTCTCATTCTGTGAAGTAACTTTGATACTTTGGTCTTATCATTTTCTCCACTACATCTACCATCCTATCAATCCTCCCACTTTTCCTGCTAACCTGCTATCTCTTCATTCCCCCTCTTTGACCTTCTTGTCTCAGTTCTCCTCCTACCTATTCACCACTCCACCTTTATTAAGCCACTGTGAGGCCTGGCTCCATCAGTCCAGGATCATGTTAATGGCAGATTCCCTTTTGCTGCTGGGTAATTATATTGGAGAGCAGCATCGTCTTCTCAGATGGGCACAAGAGACAAAATAGCAGAAACTTTAAAGCAGTCCAAAGCATTTGGTGGGAGTATGTGTTTGCAGATTGGAGTTAAATATCTCACATTGGCCAGGAGGCCAAAATCGAGTGGCCAGAACTTGCTGGTTTTTGAGCTTTGTTGAGCTAGTGACAGAAAAAAGTCTCTGGAGGGCAGACAGTTGGATGAAAAGATTTCATCACGATGTCTTCCCCTCACTTCTGAAAGAAATGATTCATAAATCCCACAATGACAAATTTCTCATATTACAGTCATGAAGTCTTACAAAGATGGCAATAAATAAAAAACAATTAAAGCTACATTTAGAATATGATGCATGCATGTTTTTTTAAGTTAGGGTGACACATCTAAAGTGACATTTTGTAGTCTTTACAAATACAGTGGCAAACTGGAAGGAGCTGCTGGCTGCAGAAGTGTTTTTTCCGGTGAATATTGCACCTTCAAAGATTTCATAGATAGAAATCCATGTCTAGAAATTGATCATTTTTTTCAGTGGTTATGGGTATACAGATCCTGTCCAATGACTAATTCTTATAATATATCCTTCTCTCACCCCAACCGGTCGCAGCAGATGGCCCCGCCCCTCCCTGAGCCTGGTTCTGCCGGAGGTTTCTTCCTGTTAAAAGGGAGTTTTTCCTTCCCACTGTCGCCAAAGTGCTGCTCATAGGGGGTCATATGATTGTTGGGTTTTTCTCTGTATCTATGAAGCGCCTTGAGGCGACTTTTGTTGTGATTTGGCGCTATATAAATTGAATTGAATTGAATTGAATTATAAGGTTTAACATGCAGCTTTAACTGTCCTGCAGGAGAATAACATTTGTGTCAGGTAAAATAAAAACATTTGCAGTGGAATTCTCATTCTGCAAGTTGTGGACATATCACATGACCTCTACAAATTACTCTACAAAGAGGTCCCCAGATAATAGCAGTGGCATAAAAATAGACCATTTATGAACCTTTAAAGACCTCCAAACCCTAGACTAAATAAATATGTATCTTTCGGCATTGGTGGGTGTATGCCTTTATTTTTAAATTTAGTCTCAAGGGCGTGTCATGCTGTCAGTGCCTGCAGTGTGTCGACAGTCCTGCTTGTCCCTCCATCCTGTTCACGATGTTCCAGTGTCACTCAGAGTCTGCTGTGATACCGCAGGGCCGCCTCCTCAGTGTGGAGCCCGGCAGTGCTGCAGCTCGTTGACCAACAGGTTTTTTGTTTTTTTTACGTGTAAAATAGAAAGATTATGTGTGGGCACCTGCTCGTGTTTCTATTTGCTCGTCTGTGAGCCAGCGTGTGCAGTTGGACGTGCCATTGTGCCTTCCCTCAGGTTGTGTTTGATAGCAATGCATCAAAGACCTTGCCAGTGGTGTCTTCTAATGGGTTTTGGATTCAACTTTTATATTATTATGTAAATAGGTGACTCTCTGATGTAGTATCAGCGTAGTCATCGCCAGGGCTGGGAGGCCCTTATCGAGAAGACGTTGAGGGAACAAAAAATGTCGCACCTGAAAGTTAATTAAAAAGCCATAAAAACGCGTCTGCCCCTCTGTCTTGTTTGTTTGTCTGTCGGTCTCTTTGCCCCCTTCCTTTCCCCTTGCAGCCAGAGGATGAATGGTTTCATTACAGTGACAAGTTCTGAGGCAGTCTCTCACTTCTTCTGTTGGCTCTCTTTATTGCCAAACTATTTACATGCCAAGAGGAAAGGTTGTACTCTGGCTTGATGAAAAAGTGCTTGAATTTAGAGTTTTAATTTGTATACCATTCATTATTCTCTAAGGCACTGAGAAGTAAACTAGCTTATCCCCTTCTCAGCTCCCAGCTCCTTCTGGACACTCTCGCTCTCAGAATGTAAAAGTTTCTTCTCCTGTATTTTTCAATGACTCCCCCTAAAATCGACGTTCCGCTCCCTTCTGTGTCCCATCGTTTGGAAACTTCAGCCATCGTAAGGAAGATTAAATGTGGAGTGCAAAGGGAAATGAGAAAGTAAAGAGGCTTATGAATTAATGACTGGAGTTATTAGTGCTGTAATTAGATTTAGGGAATGGGCAGTGCTGCGTGGTGAGATCTGGGGGGTTTGGCTGACTCCTTATCATTCACGGGATATCCTGTAAGCGTCAGGACAGTTGAGATGGAAAATTGAGCTCATCCATGCTTGTGTGATAGTACAAGTCGGCCCTGCTGCCCGCACCGCACCGAGCGATGATATTGCAGAAACGTCATGGTAAAGTAAAGCCAGAGAACGGTCGTTTAATGTCAGCAACCTAGAAATCGGTTTCATGTGCTATGTACCATTTAATTTGGTGCCACATCAAAGTCACGGTGAAGCGAGAGGAATATGAAACATTTTAATTGGTCCTTTTGCTAGTTGTTATTACAACAAATATACATAAATAGGCAATAGTTGATGCATTAGCATCAAGCAGAGTATTAAAGTATTGTGTGCACTCCATTAAAGCCCAGACTTGTGTAGTCTTCACCTCCGCGTAGACTGCGTTTTCTACACTTAAAAAAGCAAAATTGATTTGCATAAAAATGAGCCAGATTAACAGCAGGCTTTGCCCTTGTAGAACATCCACCTCGTGGCTCGTTGGCTGGGCACCCTTGAGAAACTTCTGGAGCAGTACGGAGATGGAAGCCATGAAAATTTCAGAGTGTTTATTAGTGCGGAGCCCTCATCGACCCGTGAGGGCCACATCATCCCCCAGGGTATCCTGGAGACCTCCATCAAGATCACCAATGAACCACCTACTGGCATGCACGCAAACCTGCACAAGGCCCTCGACAACTTCAACCAGGTAACATACTTACAGGTTTAATACCTGCTCCACCTTTATTGCCTACCTACGCTTCACCATTGGAAAGCAACTTAGCACAGTTTTTATATGGTTACATTGTGTGTAATTATGTGAAAGTATTTGCCCATTGAAAGAAAGAAAAGAAAGAAAGTGTACTTTATTGATCCCCGTGGGGAAATTCCTCTCTGCATTTAACCCATTCACTCAGTGAAGCAGTGGGCAGCCATTGGGTGCCCGGGGAGCAGTGTGTAGGGATGGTACCTTGCTCAGGGGTACCTCAGGGTAGCTGTTCAGGGGAATCGAACCCCCGACCTTCCGATCATGGGGCCACCACTCTACCTACTGAGCGGCA